CACGCTCCTGCCTGTGACTACACGCTCCTGCCTTTGACTACACGCTCTTGCCTGTGACCACACACACCTTCCTGCGACTACACACACCTGCCTGACACAACACACACCTGCCTGCGCTACACACACCTGCCTATGACTAAACGCTGCTGCCTATGACTATACGCTCCTGCCTTTGACTACACACTCCTACCTCTGCTACACTTTACTGCCTGCGATTAAACGCTTCAGTCTGTGATTACACGCTCCTGCCTGTGACTACATGCTTATGACCACACAGTGCTGCCTGTGAATACACAGTTCCTGTGCCTATACACGCCTGCCTGTAACCACACACACCTGTCGCTGACTACACATTTCTGTCTATGACAACAAGCTCCTGCCAATGACTAACACACTCCTGCATGTGAACACACTACTGTCTGTGACTTCACATTACTGCCTTTGACTACATACTGTGACTACACACTCCTGCCAGTGCCTGTTCTCTGGTGTGAGATCATCAATAGTGATGGGTTGCTTGAAGCTGAAGCTCTGGGGCATGTATCAAAAAAACCTAACAATTACGGAAGCTCTTGTGTCAGAGCTTTATTAATTTGGTTACCTCACTGCTTTGATACTCGATTCAAAGCTTTCGGAATAAATCATTGGACAAGTTTGTGGTGGGTTTTAAATGGCGCCATTTGCGCAAAATACAGCAAACCAGCAAGCGACATTTAGTGAGACATTTAGTGAGTCAGCCTAACATGTTTTATGCGTTTAGTTCATCAGTTCATAAGCACTTTTATCCCAAGGAAAAAAAACAAAACTTTCGAAAACACTATGTATGTAAGTTACCATCTGATCTCCCAGTAAACTGGTTCATTACATAAAGTCACGGAGGCAGAAAACCTGCAGATGCATCATTTTAGACTGGTGTGCTAGCTGTGAATTAGGTAAGATTTAATTTTATTTTTTTGCACGTTTACAAATGTCAGGAAGTCATGCCAAGTTTATTCGTTAAGAAAAAGGGTTGTAAGCTCAATATTCCAGGTAAATAAAAACAAGAAAAATTCAATTGTGTCATCGGGACCAGTTTCTTTAAATGAGAAACATTTTGTCCCCCATCCAAAGGACTTCCTCAGTCTACGGCCTGGCAACCTGATCTGTCACATAGGTAACCTTCACTGCTGTGTTTCAAACCAAAGTCCTGCTGGAATCTCAGAAGTAGGCTTTTAACACGTACATGGCCTTTGAGAGTCGTCTGGATGGGGGACGAAACATTTCTCACTTAAAGAAACTAGTCCAGATGACACAATTTAACCATTTTTTTATTCATTATTTATCAAATAAACTTGATTATATTTTTTCACCTACAAAAAGTAAATGTTGAAAGCACCTCAATGATAGTCATGGACCCGAGAAATGTCTCAGGATGTTAAAAAGCTGTCAACTCTGTCGGTTGGACAGTTCATTTCATGCTGTGGTTTCAAGCTCTTTACACTTTCGGACACAAGGCGTCGCCAAAGGGGACAGTGTTGAAAAGTTCTACTTTTTTTTTTTAAATAAGCTTCATTTGTCCATCACTGGTGATCAGCCTTTGTGTGTTTCCTTGACTGGTTTGTTTTTCTTTTTTTTTTTAAACACGTGCCTGGCCCGACTGTGACAACCCCCAAACATAACTCATTCTATGACAGCGACTACCCCTAAAGAGATTGGGGCTATAGTGGTGGGTGTTGGGCTTTAAAGAACACCAATATGGTGAATACTTTTGAAACCTGTGTGCAGTTTTAAGCGGGTAGACATGCACTTGTTGCAGCTATCGACCTTGCACTTAAATATGTTTCGTCGCTCAGCTCCAAGCATCAAAAATCACAGCGTCATTCAGGTAAGTGTTTTATTAAGACAAGCACATGTTGAGATATCCATTGAATTTCCAGATGAAGTTAATTATGCAGCTCAGCCAAACGTGCTCACTTCCTCTGGCAGGAAGACAACACAGCATACTGGGTGTTCGCTCGTCATGTCTGTTGGACTTTACACTTAGGTCAACAAAAACAAATTTAATCCAAGCAGGCGTTTGGTGCAGGGGAGCCTCCCTCGGAACAGCAACAGGCTCTGGAAATTTTAAACAAGGTTCAAGTATGCACAGACGTCAGGTGAGAATCATTCACAAAGAAATTAAAAGCAACATTTATAGCAGCAAACCAATAACAGCTCTTCAGATAAACAAACTGAGAAACTAAGAAGTGAGGAGAAGCTTCGGTATAATATATCTGTTAGTGAGCAGTGCCTCCTGATCATGAAATGTACACCGACTTCCTAGCCCTGTCCGCAGGGCAGGCGCTTGTAACGCAGTCTTCAGACACATGGAGACATCAACCTGTGCAAAACCTCAGACTCTTACCTGAACAACAAAATTAAGACTGATACCTAAAATAAAGACAAATAAAAGAAATCCATTTTCCACGATGTGGAAAAGTGTTTGATTTGACTTGGCCAAGCCGCGGTGCTTCAAACCAAATCTGAGCCCAGAAGAACATGACCTGGATCAGGAGTGCAACCTAAAAGTAATGCCACGGTCACATGATCACTTTGAAATTAATCCCTGATGTGTGGAGACCAACGATCGATGAAATGCAGCCGTTATTTTTATCTCAACATCTCGACTAGCGCCGACTGCTGCTGAAGGTTCATGTCGACTGAAGGTCTTTACCCAGTAAAGAACATCCTGATGTGGAGATGGAGGTGCACATGGAGCTATGAGGTTTGGACAGTGCTTCTAAGAAATCCTCACATGTTCCTTCAGTCTCGCTTCAAACAACGCCATCTTTCCTCTTTATCCCCTCTTCCTCATACTCAGTTGTGTTCAGGGGCAACAACCTTTCTCTTCCTTTTCTGAGTTTACATTTAATTCAATTCTGTCAAATGTATCCTGTTCAGGAGCAAAAGAAAAAGAAAAAAAAAGAGCAATCCATGTCTTATTCTCCACTGGCAACAGTTCTGCCTCGGCGGTAACCTGAGGGTCCCGCCGATGAAACAAGTCAGAAGGTGGGCAGCGACAAGGAAGGGGGCTGCAGGGAACCGGAGGAGTTTGAACGTCTCATGTGAGGAAGAAGGTAGGAGTCTGAGCACAGCTGGTGGACATCAAACCGATCCTCCTTGCGATAGGCCAGACAGCGCCGGATGAATGCCTGCAGGACAGGACAGAGGGTTTACAAGACAGGACAAATGTTGGACATTTTGTCCTCCTGTAAAACAGCTGGACTTTAGTTCTACAAATATCATGATGTGACGGTTGCACGCTTGAAACACACAAACGAGCACAACTAAACATGATCCAGTTTTAACTGATCTACTCAAAGGTTGATGCATCTGTTGGCGATAGTCTTTGAAGCCCAAAGACTGCGGGGGTGGGGAGTCATTTAAAAGGAACTCAATGATGTTTAGTTAATCTATTGTTTGGTAACCAAAGATTTGTTTCCATGAGTAAAGGTGATGATTTAACCAAAATACACTTTTCAATTGTGAGGCACGGTGGTGATAGCTTCATTCTTTGGGGCAATTGTGGTTGAACAAAGATGGACTATCCTCAGACTTCTTTAGGACCTTAGCAAGACCTCAATGCTCAAAGTGTGGTTTGTAGAAGGTCTGTGAAACTGACCAGATCAGTGCAGTTTTTGTGTTTGTTATATGGCTATGGCAGCCATCTTTAATTCGATTTACTCCAAAGGTTTATCAGTGAAAGGTGCACTTTCTGAACGTATCATGAAAAATCCACAAGTGGGATATTTTGCTAAAAATTAATTTAATCTGATCATGATGAGAAAACATTAGAAAGCATGAGCGTTCCATCACCTTGGCCTCTGTGCTGGTTTGTGGTTTAGCAGGAAACTGGACATCTGTGGCTTTGAGGATGGTGTTTTCCTGAAGGATGTCCTGCTGAGACTGATTGTGGCCGAACGGCTGTAAAATGAGCAGAAACATCTTTAGCTCGGCATCTCGGCTGATTTAAATACAAAGGCACACGGTGTGAGCAGTGCTGCAGTGTACCTTGCGTCCATAGAGACACTGGAAGAAGATCACCCCCACAGACCAGACGTCCACCTTGTTTGAGATTTTAGGCGGTTCCTTCCCTACGACAAAACACTCTGGGGGGAGGTACCTGAGCAGACACACACAAGTGATTCTTTCTTCCATCAGGTGCACCAAAAACAAGCTTAATTTACTTATTTCAACCCCCGGAAGGTTCAATGTTAAGACGGTGTTCCTTAGGAAAAAGTCAGCACCCTTATTTAACTGCTTAAATAAAAAAAAATAAAAAAATGTATTTTTCCACAGAAACCTATTCTTTTAGAGCCATCTCAGCCTGAAACAAAAATATCAAAATAAAAATATACACTTTTACTCAAACATTCTTAAGTGCTTCTAGTAAAAATAAAAAAATAAACTTTTTTTTTTTTATTTGACAATATTTGTTTTTAGTGGTATTTTTGGAAAAAGGTATGCAACATTAAGTGTTTTTGTTCTTTGCATCCAACAAAAGCAATTCTGTCAAACGATATTCAATTCAATTCAAAAATACTTTATTGATCCCAAAGGGAAATTATTTGTTGTTGTAACTCGTTATCCTCATTTCATTAAGAGATGGTATAGGTACTGATGGCTGTAGACAGGAAGGATCTCTTGTAAAGGTCCATCCCACAGTGGATCCTAAGAAACTGGCTGCAGATGCCGTCCGATTCGTCCACCCAGACTCGGCCGGCCCCTTGGCTCCCCCGGACTGCAGGATCGCCCGAACGCCGGGCAGAACTCCTCCCAGAGTGATGGTCACTCCTCCCAGCAGCCTACCGAGCTCCCCGTCGCTGCGGACAGCCAACTTCAGGTAACGAGGGACGGCCCCGTCCCTCCGCCACCATAAGCCATGTCTCCCGCCAGCCCCAGGATCCCAGTGGCCAGGCACTCAAGCACAGCCAGCAGGTAGATGAGAATGCGTCCACAGAACATCCTTTTCAACTCGTTTGAGATTTGGGGCTGTAGTTGAGATACTATTTGAGCTTTTGAGATGTTAATCAGCTGCTGTTGGTTGTAGAAAACTGCCTTGTTGCCATGGTTACGCATCATAACAAATGTTCAAAACTAAAAAGTTTCAGTAAAAATCCTTTCAGCTGCACAGCATCTGATACCAGAGGAAACAATCACCAAAAAAATGTGATTTACATCCAGAAAAAGAGGAATTAAAGTTTCCAAAAGCAAAATCTCAGAAAGAAAGTAACAGAGCTACTCCAACCTTGAGCGGCACAATTCCAGAACTCGGGAGGCATATAGGAGGCAGGCGTCCGCTTCGACATCTGGCTGTCCCAGAAATTTTTTACAGAGGCTCTCAAATGTAAGAAATCCAAGCAAAATACAAATTAAAAGTATTGAGACGTTGGTAAAAAAAAAAAAAAAAAAAAAAAAAAAAAAAACATTACTTGGAAGAATGCAATATTTTATTATATAATTATGGGATCAATAAATGCATTTATAATGACTTTCAATGTGGTCAATTTTCCCCCTAAGAAACACTAGACAAGGGCTCACCAACACAGTGCCCATGGGCACTTGGTCACCCATAGCACATTCTAAAAATAGCACTCATCAAGGAGCACCGCCTAAATATCTTTAATTATGTTTTGAAATTTAAGTAATATCATTTGCATTGATGTAGGTTTGAAATGAAAATAATTAGTGGTGTAACGGTACACATGGGTGTATTGAACTGTTTCGATGCGGCATGTTCGGTTCGGTCCACAAGCGTATTGTTTCGGTTATTTTTTCACTCATTAAATTTTATTAGCGAGAAATTATGCACCGCGGAACTAAAGTTCCTAAGCGTGTTCCAGCATGTCGCTAATGTTGCAGTCTTGCAGCATACATAGCATTAGCAGCCTAGCAGGCAACGAACAAGCCTGAGCTTTAAGACCCTTTCATCTCATTGCGGTCTCCAGTGTGGGAACATGGCTTTCTTGTTAAAAGACAAGTGGACTAATCCAAAGCTGTGTGTCAACGTTGTTTCACGGAGACTGGATCTGCAGCAGGCAACACGTCTATAACTTGTTAATAGGGATTGAGCTGATCCGAACCGTATCAGCCTCCGATATCAGCATAATTTACGTATCGTATTTTTCCGATCCAACCTGCAGAAATTTCCGATCCATGAAGTATGCCTGGTCTGATGAAACTTCTCATGTGATTCCCTGCCAGCTGCTCTGCAAGTTGGCGTCAGACTATGGAATGGATTTCCTGAATGGAGGCGTGTCTCATGAACCCAGAGTAATAAGACCCGCCTCACATTTAGGAAATCCATTTCATAGTTTGCAACCTGTGCAACTGTGGCTAACAGCTAACCAACTTTTCATTGAAACATGTCCATTGTGTGAAAGTATTTTACACTAGAAACACAACAAAGCAAGACAGCAACATGCAATGTCTGCAGAGCCACAGCACCACATTAAACAAAAGTTAAAGTTAGTTTTACGTAGGACATTCGAGCTCCGGGGTTTCAGCGTTCTGCTACTCTCAATGAACCCGAAACAGGAAGCCCGACCCCGGCCAGCTGCGCCCAATCTGCCTCGCTCAGTCTACCCGTCTTCGAGGAGGGACAGACTGAGCGTGGATGACCGAAATCAGATTGCCCGCTCCGGACAGAACAAGAACACACCACTGAAGACCAGGAGTCTGAATGTTTACCGAGAAATTGCTAAAATTCTTCGTAATTAGAGACCAACCGCTATCAGTTGTGCTTGACACTTGCATCAAAGATATAGTTTACCCTCAAGGAGATATTTATCAGTACAACAGTAGACAATCATAAAAGAGCATATGAATTGAAAATTACAAGAAAATAATATATACATATATGTATATATATATACATACACATATATACATACACATATATACATACACATATATACATACACATACATAAATACACATACATACATATATACATACATATATACATGTAGTGATGTAGGGTTAAGTTAGCTTCAGTTAGCTTAGGAGCTCCACTACAATCAATATTTAATAACGGGTTCTCTCTTTTTCGAGCTACTTGACAGATATGTGACAGAGGTACTGTGTTGGAGATGGTCTAATCAGTGACAAGAGACGTTAATTTTCTTTGACCCATCAAAATGAATGTGGTCATTTATTAACAGAATCAAAATTTAACATCAAAACATTGTACACTTGATTATTCTGATCAGCTCTGATTAATAAAACTTGGCATGTTTTACTTTATAAAAACAACAGACATATCCTTAGATCTTAAATTAATGTCTGCAGACTTTTAGCTTATCTTTACTGGCAGAGAAATATAGAGATGGAGTAAAGTTTTTGAAGGAAAAGTGGATACTTAGGGTTAACTAAGATAATAAAGATGGGGAGTTATCTTGTTTGAAACCAGATAGCATGTTTCCCGGTGATTTCAGCTAGATGGTACCAGAGCGTCGACTCTTTACCTTGGTGGGGTTTCAGAGAGGCCTTCTCCTGGCGTCCAGCAAGGCTCAGTTTTTATCTCCAGGGATTTATATCCGCTTCTCATCAACTTGGGACCACGAGGCTGACTGGCCCAGCTTCCAAAATAAACTCACCGAAGGATAGGGTTAAGTGGAATTTCAGCAAACGTGCTGAACTCCTGAGATGTTGAATAGGTCTTTGGCGTGATGACCTGAATCAACACTCCAGACAGGTGTCATCTTTCAGAAAAAGACCACCGTGGACTTCACCTTCTCCAGCAGAACTCTCTGTTCTGAACTTTTGGAACTTCTGTTCTCCCTCGGAACTTCTGTGTCGACTTTTAAAGAGTTCTGCTTCCGGTCACTTTTGGGAAGTGCTGATTGGTTGAAAGAACCAACAGGGGTGTGGTTTTAGTGACGTCAGAGGGTCATTACAAGTCAGAAAAACAGCGGAGATGTTTAGGAACAGACAGAGAAATGTTTTGGAGAAATGACAGACTTACAGGTGCCAGTTTTCTTGTTTCTGTCTGAGAGGTTTAAAAACATGACAGTTCGTTCCAATAAACTTGTTTGCGGTCTCCGACTTTTGACCGACATCACACCTTTCTCATTTCAGACAGAAGATCAAAAATGCATAATTACTTTGTAACATAGACATTTAACTTGATTTCTACTTTGAATGAGGATTAAAAATCATTAATACTGTTTCACAGTTGATTTAAAATATAATAATATAATACATATATATATACACATACATATACACATACACATATATATACACATATATATACATATACACATACACATATATATACACATACACATGTATATACACATACACACATATATATACACATACACATGTATATACACATACACACATATATATACACATATGTATATACACATACACACATATATATACACATATATATACACATACACATATATATACACATATATATATACACATACACATATATATACACATATATATA